TTTAGGATTTAGGGTTTAGGGCCCATTAAAGGATTCTCTTGCGTTTCTATAAGAAGGGTTGTATGGTCATATCACTATGGCTTTGGGTTTAGGGCTAGGGTTCCTTTCGAGGTTTCTATGAAGCATTCGAGAGGGGTTCCAGAAGACTGTAAGGGTGAATGTAGAAGCCTAAATAATTACCAGCTTTTGTCCTTAGGGTTCCGTATTATAACTATACTACACAGGAGCCCAAGACCCTTTTAGAACTACTAAGGCCTCTCAGGGTTTGCAGCTGAGCCTTGAACTGCCATACATAGTTGGGGAAATTAGGGCCAAGGAAGGGGCCGGGGGGTGGGGGGCAGGGTGAGGGACGACGTCGACCACTCCCCAGCCCAGTGGGGCGAGGTACAGTCGAAGGTGGCGGCTCCTTGACGACCTCTGCGCCGCAAGTACCTGATCCAATTCTTTGTGGACGATTTCGTTGACTGGATGGGACCACACGGCAAGCGGGAGCGCTTCCTCTGATGATGGCCTACCGGAGGCCATACGACTCTCTGGGCGCCTTGCGGCGGTCGGGGGGTCACACCCGCGCGTCCGCCAAGTGTCCCTCGACTGCGCGATGCATAGATCACCGTGCGCGGAGGCGGCAGAACCATCCGAGGGCTCGGGCCAACCTTTCCGTCCAACGGCATGCATGTTGCTTCCCTCCTGTCAATCCAGAACCCTAGCTAGCTGCCTACCTACCCACCTACCTACCTACCTGCCTGCCTGCCTACCTACCTACTTACCTGCCTACCTACCGTGGTCCGCCTACCGTAAACCCTTATAAAAGCTCTACAGAACTTGTTCTACGAAAAGCCCTTGTGCAACCCCAGACAAATTCTGCAGCTCCCCTTATGAAAACTCCACGCCCAAACCCTAAACCCTGAACCCTACACCCTAAACCCTAGACCCTAACAAGTGTGCAGGAATAGCCCAGTCATGCACAGCAGCGTACCTGACCAGTGCCCTGGAGATGTGGTTTAGGTTAGGGTGGAGTTAGAAGCCCAAGCAAGCACAGAGATATAAAGTAGTGAAGCCTACCTTCTTTCGGGATAATGCCCTAAAACACTATAAATACTTATGGTCCTTGTCTTCTACATATTTATATAACAACACTTTATAGTCATTTGAATGTATATACATATATATTTATACACACGCGCATTGCTTGTGTTTCTTTTCAGGGCTTTAGGATTTGGCTTCGGGTCGGCTTGTGCAGGTTTCGAGTTTGGCTTCCTTGTGACGTCGCATCATCCTCATGACTCGGTTCAGGGTTGAGGGTTCAGGGATTTAGTGTTGAGGGTTTAGGGTTCAGGGGTTTAGTGTTGAGGGTTTAGGGTTCAGGGGTTTAGTGTTGAGGGTTTAGGGTGCAGTGGATTAGGGTTGAGGGCTTATCCTAACTTCAAAGCTTGTAGTATTAACCCTAAACCCTAAACCCTTTAGGGTAAGTTGTAGTATGGCTGTACTAAGCTCTTAAGGAGCCCTAAGGAGTCCGGTTGGTACACACTTAAGGCGAGTCGGTTTAGTTTCGGGTTTAGGGTTTAGGCCGTGGCCTTATAAGCAGCCCCAGAAGCCTCGACATCGTTAGGGTTTCGGGTTTTAGGGTTTAGGGTTTAGGGTTTAGGGTTTAGGGTTTAGGGTCTAGGGTTTAGGGTTTAGGGTCTAGGGGTTTAGGGTTTCAGGGTTTAGGAGTCCTGGAAACATTGGCCGCCGCCCCCCCTTTTCAAAACAAAGAAGAAAACAGCAACAGCCTTCAACCGCCAACGCCCCAAAACCAAAGGCCCTAATATAGAAGCAGTGGTTTGGGCTTCGGGTCGTCTGAACAACCTCTACGTGCTCTTATAGTACAGGGGCCTTAATACTTACCTATGCTATTTGGGGGGTTCCTGTTTTGGAATTATAGTCTGAATATACCCCAAAACAAGACCCTGTTATAATTATTAAGGCCCCGACATTCTTGCTTGGGGCTCGAGTTTGGGGTTTGGCAAGTGTTAGGTGGGGGGGGTGTCTTGCGCAACCAACACACTCTCTCAGCGACCAGGGTGTGCACACCTTGAAAACTTCTTCATGGTGAGTTCGATGGATCGGGGCAGTAGTTTTGACCCACTTGCAGACCTTGGACGGATAGTTTTACACAATCCAAAATTACTACGACTTCTTGCAGAGCCTATATGATATACCATATGTACATCAAAGCCACCATTCTAATTTTTAAGGTCCCCTAAACCCTAAACCCAAAACCCTAAACCTATCTCCCGGCCTAGTCTTGACTCAGGTACAAGCCCGTAATCCTTGAGGCCGGCGTCCGCAAGCCATTTCCGAAGGCGACGAAAAAGATCAAGATGCCAACTATGGTGTCGTTTTAAGGCAGGTGCCTGGGCCCAAAGGCCGTTTCCAGCCATTGAAGAACCCTAAACCCTAAACCCTAAACCCTAAACCCTAAACCCTAAACCCTAAACCCTAAACCGTCCCCAAATAGCCCCGAAACTGTAAATCCTCAAACCCCAGAGCCTAAACTCTCAGTCCTACTTACCCTAAACCCTAAACCCTAAACCAAAAAAATTCTCGGTCCTAGGGGAATCCAGCAGTTCCAGAAAGCCTAAACCCTAAACCCTAAACCCTAGACCCTAAACCCTAAACCCTAAACCCCAACCTTGAAGCCCCGACAGGAGAAGTACATCCTTGGTCCTTAAGCCTAGCAGAAACTTCGAATCTGTAGAAGCTGAGCCGTGTCAAGAGGGCACTAATGTAGGGGGCTTAAATAATTACCAATACTATTTTGGGGCTCCTTTTTGGAGTTATAGTATCATGGGCCCCAAAACCCTATTCTAAGTATAAAGGCCCCTAGACTAAAGAGGGCATTACCCCAGGTTCCGATTCCGTGCCCACGAATTCGTTTGAAGCGAAAAGGCTGTCCCGTTGCTGAGGTGCCAGATCGGTGATGCTTGTTTAGTTAGGTAGTATTATTAGGGGTACCCCTTAAAGGGTACCCTTCTGAACCCTACTTTTGGCTCTCTTAAAAGGGACCTTATTGAGAGGGTCTATATTTCCAAGGGTCCCCCTAATCCTAGCTCCCATTAGTCCATAGGAAATGCTCGCATTCGGAAGATCACGCATCGCGGGCGTTTCTTTTCCTCATGGTCCCACTTAGGGGGTTCATGATTCCCGGACTGTTTGAATGCCTCGGCACTAGTTGAGGCTTCCCTAAACCCTAAACCCTAAACCCCAAAAACCTCTAAGCGCCAAACTCTGAGCCTGAGCCACCCCCGCAGATAAACGCCCGACAGGGCCTTGAAGGCCTAAGATAGGTTTAGGGCTTTGGGTTTGGGGTTTAGGGTTTAGGGCTTTGGGTTTGGGGTTTGGGGTTTAGGGTTTAGGGTTTAGGGTTTAGGGCTTTGGGTTTGGGGTTCTACGTTTTTCCCATCATGATATTCCTACTTCTGTTCTGACCATGTCCTCACCCTGTGCCCTAAAACCCTAAACACCCTAAACCCTACAACCCTAAACCCTAAACCCTAAACCCCAAACCCAAAGCCCTAAACCCTAAACCCTAAACCCTACCACCCTAAGCTTGGTTTCTGTGGGGTTCATGAGCGCCTCAGCGGCGGTCCAGGATGCAGGCCTGCCTGAGGGGCGAATGCTGCCATCACCAGCCTTTTCCTTCCGCTGGTCCTTGAAGCCCTGAAACCCTAAACCCTGAAGTCCTATATCCCTAAACCCTAAACCC